CCCCCCCCCCCCCCCGGCTTCCTCATTGGCCAGAAAGCTGGCTTCATGCTACCTCATCACCTGGTGACGAGTCATTACACATCACCCGGCTCCCTTAATGCGACTTCTGATATCGGCGAGTACTGAAAAAAAAATATCAGTACTTTTACTCGATCCTGAAAAAACAGTATCGGTGCATCCCTATACTGAACTGCAGCATAGAAAATCAGGTCTCTTCCCCTGCCAGATAGGGCTGTGCTTAACTTTTGCTTAGTTATTGTCATGTATTGTAAGCAATGAATGGACCCTGCAGTAAAGCACTACAGATTATAATGGCAATTCATATGTAATAATTATAATAATATGAATAAAGTTCTATTTTAGATTCACTGATGCTTTAATTTAGAATTTTAATAACTAGAAAATAAATTTCCCACCCGTGTTATTGTTTCCTGCTAGCATGGTTGGACTGACAGACGATCTTCCAAGTCGGCTGGAAACATGAGTTGGGCCTGGAGTTCCATCCCATTCCTGAGCTTTTATCGTCTCTCTAGAGGATGGTGAGGAATGGTGACTAGATCGTTCTTTGTTTTCCAGCTTTGGTAAGGGTTCTGTGCTATGACTCCTGACCTTCATTTCATCCGGTGGTTCTAAAGAAAAAGAATAATAATCGTATTAAAAGCTATATAAATGTTACTTTACATTTAAAAAAAACACTAGGGGTAGAGGTTTTTAGCAGAAGAGACTTTGCATGTTTCTTCTGCCAACAAGATTATTTCTCCTCTCTCCTAGCAATTTTTGCTCTGTGTATATGCAATTCAGTGTTCGCTCAGACCCACGGCTGAGAATGGAGCTGGGTGCCCAGAGGAAGTAAGTCCAGTGCACATATATAGGGGTTACATTGTGAGTTGTCACCCAATGGCTAAAGAGCTAAGATGCTGGGCTGGAAATAGTAGTGGCAGAAAGAGTGTCAATGGGGATCGTAGAGATGTCAGTCCTGGAGGAGGGCAAGGCCAGATGGAAGTCTGCCATAATGACAAGACCTTGTGCCACCCAGCCACACAACAATTCCAATTTGGAGGCAGGCTGGAACATCAGGAGAAGGTGACACGACTGCATTCCTTGACTTTAACAGGTAAAGTGGTGTCACCCAGCTGGCTATGCACTATGGCATGTGTTTGTGAATCAGACAATTAGCTGAATAGAATCACACATGCAGTATTTTGGCAATTACAATAGTTCACACATCTATATTTCAAAACCATATTTTCATGTTTTACCAAAGTTCAGCTTCAAAGAGGATTTTTCCGTTTTTAAAACTTACTTGTGATGCAAGATATTTTTTTTTATCATACTTTACCTTAAAAAGCTTTACAAGCTTTACAATATTTCTTAGCAATCAACCAGCTGTCTTATGGGATGTCTTATACTGTAGGTTTATAGGAGATCCCACCAACAAACCCAGATTCTACATCAGTACTCACCTCATTAATATCCTAGCAAAGACTTCTCCATGACTCCTTCCTTGCCTAGCAGTATTTAGGAGGAGGAGAGGCTGAGAAGTCATAGGAAGGAGTTGGCTTCAGCCAAGGTTTCAAGTATTCTGGACATTAAAAATATGAATGACTGTCATGGAATACATGCTATATCCAGGGGCCTGCAAAACATGCAATATATTGACACTGAGATGCAAAACAGAGTTAAAGTACAAGTTCAGCTTTGCTACAAAATCTCCCTAGCCTCCCTCCCTAGTCCCCTCAATACATTTAGCTGTCCTAAGAGCTAAAAGCTCTTAGCAATCTGTGACACTCTGACTGGCGTCCCACCCAGCTCCTTCTCCATCA